ATTTGTATTGTGCTTGTTCAAAACAAACTAGCACTAGCAAATGCTAGGGTTGCTCAGGGGAACATCGGCAATGACGAAAACCAAGAAACAAGACCAAAAGACATTTTCCAAGTAAGTTCATATCAACATCACTCTTCAGCAAAGTGTCCATCACTTTACGCCCATGTAGACTTCTAGTATTTGCACTGTGCATGCTTTCTCATATGCTAGCACTAGCATATGCTAGGGGTTGACACGGAATACCAACACTGACATTGTTATACAACTAAACACATGGTAGGCTTGAAAACATGTGGTCCCCTCTCAACTACGACCATTTACCCTAATGTTGTTATTTCATTTACCTGTACTAGCATTTTCTTGATGTTCATTGGAGTTCCTCGACCTATTCTCAACTGACCTCTCAACAAACACCTTGATACATATCTCTTGAAAATTACTAGTATTGCTTTTGTGCTTGCTTCCCTAAATGCTAGCACTAGCAAATGCTAGGGGTTTCCAAGTGACCAACAACATGACCTTCAAGCAACTCCACTGCATCCTTATATAGTCATCAAGTTAATCCTGTCAATAAATGATAAACGCCTTTTGAGAAAGCCTAGAATTTGTATTGTGCTTGTTCAAAACAAACTAGCACCAGCAAAAGCTAGGGTTGCTCAGGGGAACATCGGCAATGACGAAAACCAAGAAACAAGAGCAAAAGACATTTTCCAAGTACATATCAACATTACTCTTCAGCCAAGTTTCCCTCACTTTACGCCCATGTAGACTACTAGTATGTGCACTGTGCTTGCTTTCTCATATGCTAGCACTAGCATATGCTAGGGGTTGACACGGAATACCAACACTGACATTGTTTTCAACTAAACACATGGTAAGCTTGAAAACATTTGGTCCCCTCTCAACTACGACCATTTACCCTAATGTTGTTATTTCATTTACATGTACTAGCATTTTCTTGATGTTCATTGGAGTTCCTCGACCTATTCTCAACTGTCCTCTCAACAAACACCTTGATACATATCTCTTGAAAATTACTAGTATTGCTTTTGTGCTTGCTTCTTTAAATGCTAGCACTAGCGAATGCTAGGGGTTTCCAAGTGACCAACAACATGACCTCCAAGCAACTCCACTGCATCCTCATATAGTCATCAAGTTAATCCTGTCAATAAATGACAACCGCCTTTTGAGAAAGCCAATAATTTGTATTGTGCTTGTTCAAAACAAACTAGCACCAGCAAATGCTAGAATTGCTCAGGGGAACATCGGCAATGACGAAATCAGGAAACAAGACCAAAAGACATTTTCAAGGTAAGTACATATCAACATTACTCTTCAGCAAAGTGTCCATCACTTTACGCCCATGTAGACTACTAGTATTTGCACTGTGCGTTCTTTCTCATATGCTAGCACTAGCATATGCTAGGAGGTGACACGGAATACCAACACTGACCCTTTCATAGCACTAAAATCATGGTAAGCATGAAAAGACTTCATACCCTCTCAGCTGCTAGTATTTGCCCTAACGGTGTTTTGCTTCAATTGTCTGTACCAGGAATTTTTATGTTCATTGGTGTTTCGTGTCCTATTCTAAACTGATCTCTCTGTGAACACCATGATACATATATCTTGAAGATTACAAGCAAATGATGACAAGGAATATGAACACTGTCACTGGAATGGCACTAAACACATGCTATCAAGAAACATTGAACAACAGGTAAAGACATTTGTTTGAATGATGTTTACAAAACGTTGATCATGTATGTAGACCAACGTACACCATGACCTTAACCCACACAAAGTTGCAGACTGCTGAATATCATGCTGAATGCAGAGAATTATTATCCCAGCCATTTGGTCACTGTGCACTCTATCTCTATCTAGAGTGAAATGGTTTTAAGTAGGTTGTACGTGTGAATTCATGGATCACTAGTAAGTATACATAAGTGAGTGAGTGAGTTGGGTTTAACGCTGCTTTTAACAGTATTCCAGTTATATCGCAGCGTGTCAGCTTAATGTGGGAGGAAAACCCGAAATGATGCAGGTCTCAGATGTTTACCACTTCGGTGAAACCCACGAGCACGGGTATGGTGCTGACAAACCGTGATTTGAACCCACAATCATAGGTTTCTGGCGTGCCCAAGGGACGCAACTCTGCACAGCGTATCGCGGCGCCTTAGGCGACTGGGCCACCCGTGCCCCCTAAGTATACATAAGAAGATAGTTATAACATTCACTGCAGGATTTGCTATTGATGTGTACGGTCAACTGAGCAATGACATATATTTTCAAAAATATTCAATATATGTAATGTTCATCACACAATCTTAGACTGGCTAATTGAACCACATGACATACAGAAGTCAAACTGAGCTGGGCGACAGGTGACCCCCGGACTGAGACCCGTGAAGATTCCGAGGTAGAATAGGTCTTCAGCAACCCATGCTTGCCGTAAAAGGTGACTCTGCTTGTCGTAAAAGGCGACTAACGGGTTTGGATGGTCAGGCTTGCTGACTTGGTTGATGAATGTCATCGATTCCCATTTGCGTGGATCGATGCTCATGATATCAATCACTGGATTGTTTGGTCCAGACTCGATTATTTACAGACCACCGTCATATAGCTGGAATATTGCTGAGTGCGGCGTTTAACAACAAACCAACCAACCAACCCTGGACTGAGTCCGCCAACTGCAGAATTGCAGGGACTTTTTGATCTTCACACAACTATGATTGTTTAAAATATACCTTTGTACACATGTATCCTTCTCATATATTAAATGAGAGCAACCTGTGACTTGCGCACAGGTCACTAATCAGATGAACGATGGTCGCAGGGAAAAGTTGGATGGATGACTGTGTTTGGCAGCTTGACTACTGAGAGTATAGCACATGTGGTGTCTCCTTAGGCAAGTGACTTTTTTTAATATATGCCCCTGTTCACCCAGCAGTGAATGGGTACCCGGTAGGATGAGATGGTTATGTGACTGTTAACCTTCTAGCGCCTCTAGCTTGGGTTGTATACTTATTATAATTAACTGATGTTTATAAATGACATAATTGATATGAATAATATTGTTGGAGAGACAGCAACACAGGAGCCTTGTGCTTACATCATTTAAGAGTGAGTGAGTATGGTTTTACGCTGCTTTTAGCAATATTCCAGCATTATCACGGCGGGGGACACCAGAATTGGGCTTCACACATTGTACCCATGTCGGGAATCGAACCCGGGTCTTCGGCGTGACGAGCAAACGCTTTAACCACTAGGCTACCCGACCGCCCCACATCATTTAAGAACTGCTAGGTACAATAACAAGAATGTTGGCAAAAACAGAGAACTGGTCTCTCTCACCAATATTTTGGCCATCAATTTGGTGTTTTAAGACATAATTTTGAATTTTGCAGGGTTGTCAAACATGTGTTGGCTGCTTACAACCAATCAGATGCTGCGTAGCTATCACATGATTTTTACTTATGTCTGCTAGAAAATGACATCAGCATCTGAGAGAAGTGAAGAGGAATAAAGTAACAGAAAATTGTGAAAACGCAAGTTGGCAAAATATCTGGAGTTTGCCAACCTGTATTTGCTAACATCAGTTGCCTTCAAACAGCTCTAACAACAATAATGGGGTACAGTAATGGTTCTGAGTGAGTGAGTGAGTGAGTTGGGTTTAACGCCGCTTTTAACAGTATTCCAGTTATATCACGGCGTGTCAGCTTAATGTGGAAGGGAAAGCCCGAAGTGATGCAGGTCTCAGACATTTACAACTTCGGTGAAACCCACGAGCACGGGTATGGTGCTGACAAACCTAGAAACATAATCGGGGCGATCCGGGATTCGAACCCGAATCTCCATGAGGCACAGGGGACCTAATCTGAACTGAAATCCTTACAGAGGGAAATGCAAGAATCTGTCCAGAATCACTGGGGTCATGAGGCTTAATACTTGGTTTTGTTGGTTTGTTGTTTAACGCCGCACTCAGCAATATTCCAGCTATATGACGGTGGTCTGTAAATAATCGAGTCTGGACCAGACAATCCAGTGATTAATATCATGAGCATTGATCCACGCACTTGGGATCGATGACATGCATCAACCAAGTCAGCGAGTCTAACCACCAGATCCCGTTAATCGCCTCTTACAACAAGCTTTGTCGCCTTTTACAGCATGCATGGGTTGCGGAAGACCTATTCTACCTTGGATCTTCGAGGGGTCTGAGGCTTAATAATGATAATAGTGAGTGAGTATGTTTTTACGCCACTTGTAGCAATATTCCAGCAATATAACGGCAGGGGACACCAGAAATGGGCTTCACACATTGTATCGATGTCGGGATTCGAACCTGGACGAGCGAACGCTTTAACCACTAGGCTACCCAACCGCTCCTTATAATGATAGTAGTAGTAGTAGTACTAGTAGTAGTAGTAGTAGCAGCAGCAGCAGCAACAACAACAACAACAATGATAATAGCAATAATGGTGATGCATGTTCACAGCAGATATGGTTATACAATTCAAGTTGCATCTCAGCTCCCTGGGGAGCCCCACAGATCCTCACAGACAAAAAGCAGTGAGTAACAAACATAGGGTGCCTGGCACTTATCCGGTAGGGCTGGGACGATACACCAACTGTGAGATCCGGTACATATCACGATACTTTACTCACAATCCGATATGTATCACAATACTTGCATGTGCTCTTATCTGTGGTCCCTAAGCCATCTTTTTTATAGAGCGGATGGCCAAATACCTGACACACTGACGATTTACAGTTGGCAGTGTCAAGTGTGGCACAACAAATGAAAATATTTATGTTTTCACTATTGACTTGCACTACTGATTAGTGTTTAGTGGAACAGTTATTAAAGCAAACATTTAAGGTCAGAATCAATATTTTTTACTCAGGGTGTGACTGTGATCGATACATGTATAGAGAAGCAAAAAATTGCAATTCACCGATGCATCGGTGTATTGTTCCACCACTGTTATCCGTTGCCAGGATACTGGATGCTAGGACCTACTGTTTCCTAGAATCCAGAGAGCAGAGAGTACCAGTACACTTACCTGGAAGAAGAAGTCGACACAGAGTGCCACTTCGACACTGCCGATCCAGTCTCGAGATCCCAGGAACGCTTGGCCCTTGTCCTCCATGGCCACTAGAGCCTTCTGGATGTCTGTAATTGATGGTACAGGATGTGACGTCGCTCCTCCTGCCCCCATCGGCTGTCTGTGAACCCACGAACACAGCGTCTGGAGGGTCCTATAGCCGCAGCCCCAACCCTGCACAACAAGTGTTCAATGAATTAGTCTGAAGCAACCACAGCCCCAAAACTGCATAACAAGTGTTCAATGAATTAGTCTGAAGTAACCACAGTCCCAACCCTGCACAACAAGTGTTCAATGAATTAGTCTGAAGTAACCAGTCCCAACCCTGCATAAAAAGTGTTCAATGAATTAGTCTGAAGTAACCACAGCCCCAACCCTGCACAACAAGTGTTCAATGAATTAGTCTGAAGCAACCACAGCCCCAAAACTGCACAACAAGTGTTCAATGAATTAGTCTGAAGCAACCACAGTCCCAAACCTGCATAACAAGTGTTCAATGAATTAGTCTGAAGTAACCACAGCCCCAAACCTGCACAACAAGTGTTCAATGAATTAGTCTGAAGTAACAACAGCCCTAAACCTGCATTACAAGTGTTCAATGAATTTGTCTGAAGTAACCCCAGCCCCAAACCTGCATAAAAAAAAGTGTTCGGTGTTCAGTGAAGTAACCCCAGCCCCAAACCTGCATTACAAGTGTTCAATGAATTAGTCTGAAGTAACCACAGCCCCAAACCTGCATAACAAGTGTTCAATGAATTAGTCTGAAGTAACCACAGCCCCAAACCTGCACAACAAGTGTTCAATGAATTAGTCTGAAGTAACAACAGCCCCAAACCTGCATTACAAGTGTTCAATGAATTAGTCTGAAGTAACCACAGCCCCAAACTTGCATAACAAGTGTTCAATGAATTAGTCTGAAGTAACCACAGCCCCAAACTAGCATTATAAGTGTTCAATGAATTAGTCTGAAGTAACCACAGCCCCAAACTAGCATTATAAGTGTTCAATGAATTAGTCTGAAGTAACCACAGCCCCAAACTAGCATTATAAGTGTTCAATGAATTAGTCTGAAGTAACCACAGCCCCAACTCTACAAAACTATCATTTTGTGATTAGTCTGCAATATTAACATCCCCTGCGTAATAGTCACATAGTGTAAAAAGTCATCTGATGCCAGTGTCATGTAGAAAAGAAACATCCATCAAACATAAGAAACAACTTTTACAGTGGTTTTACAGTGTTTCCATAACATGATATAAAGCGCTCGGTTCAAAATTATTATGTCTATTCTACAGTGGGACTACATCAAATTTCAAAACACAGTAGGTTTATCTCCATTCTGCCATGACGGCAACAACGCTTTGAAAACGCGCTCTCTTGCAACGCGTAATAACATAGGTGCACAGGTGTGCAATCTTAGAACATTGCGAAAAGTGGTCACAGGTAGTTATATATGTAACAATTATTACTAAAGTTCAAGATTAAAAACACCATAGTCGTGAGTAGTTCATAATAAGTGTTCAAAACATATAGATTTTCAAAAGAAGTTGACAAATAACACTCCAAACTTAGTCCAAAGAGAGATGTTTTAATTTCTACCAAACTGTTGTACACTGTTGTACACTGTGGACTGACTGTCATTTCTTGGAATTTTGTGAGAGAGGTCATTTCTTTGAAATAGAACATGCCATCATTTCTATTGTAGGGGTGAAGGGTAATAGAAAAAGGTTGTAAAATGCTAAACGAATATATTTCTACAGCAAACTTTATGAATTAACATTCTATTATACATTTAACATGTGTAAGTGTTATTAGTTAGTTAGCAATTACCCCCAGTAAACAATAATAAAATTAAAATAAATGCCTCTCCATCCCGAACTTGGATGTGGCTGAACTTGACCTACATCTCGGTTACTCACACCTCACAGGTGTCAATGGCTGACAATCTGTGTTTACATTCTCCGTAACGAGTTATAGAATGAAGCAAGATGACAACCCTGATCTATGATGTGGTTCAACAATAACAGGTAGATTATCTGGGATTGAATGAGCCTGCTGGTACATCCATATGATTAACAATGTGAAAGAGTATGACTGAACAGCCGCTTTTTAGGCTGCAGACAAGCCGGATATTTTGAAACGAGGAATCTGCATGGTGTGACCCATTAATTTCAAGATTTCATGCATCCAAAGCCAAATAGTGACAGAACTTAAACATTTGTGTCCCAGAAATAGTGGATTGTGTATGATTTTCTTAATTGTGCGTGTTCTGAAATGAATTTCATCAAGTTTGATAAGCTGTCACTTCAGTTGGGACATTGTTTTCGTGGTTTCTGAAGGGGAGTGTTTTCTGATGGACCTTCCCCTGAAATCCCCTCCTGCCAAATTCTAACGGTGGTGGTTGACGGAGATGGCAATGAATATCGATCAGAAAAAGGTTTGTAAACAACATGTTGTCATGAATAAAGTTTTTTCAAACAATTTTTATAATGTTATATTTTACTTTCATTGTCGGTTGTTTCAATGAGGAAATAGCTTGAAATGTTCCGATTCTGGTCACCAGTATATCAAGGTAAATAGTTCCTGTGGTACATACTGCTACAGTTGATGAATATCACAGATATATCATGGTAAATAGTTCCTGTGCTACATAGTGTATGAATATCACAAACATCTCATAGTAAATAGTTCCTGTGGATCATACTGTGATACAGTTGAGTGATGTAACAGACACATCATGGTAAATAGTTCCTGTGGTACATACTGTGCTACAGTTGAGTGATACTACAGATACATCATGGTAAATAGTTCCTGTGTTACATACTGTGCTACAGTTGAGTGATACTACAGATATAGCATGGTAAATAGTTCCTGTGGTACATACTGTGTTATAGTTGAGTGATACTACAGATATATCATGGTGAATAGTTCCTGTGCTACATACTGTGCTACAGTTGAGTGATATTGCAGATATATTATGGTAAATAGTTCCTGTTGTACATACCATGCTATAGTTGAGTGATACTACAGATATAGCATGGTAAATAGTTCCTGTGGTACATACTGTGCTACAGTTGGGTGATACTACAGATATATCATGGTAAATAGTTCCTGTGGTACATACTATGCTACAGTTGAGTGATACTACAGATATATCATGGTAAATAGTTCCACTGGTACATACTGTACTGCATATAGGTGATATAATAGGTATTTCATGGGCTGTGTTACAGTAGGAACGATGCAGTTGTTTTCCCCATTCCAGATGCAATGCAATGAATTTATACGCTTCTGGACATGTTGGAGTTGTCTGCAACTGCCATGTTTCTCACATGGGACACACGGATCAGACAGATTTATAGTGAGACATAACCCTCAGTTTGACTTACTCGGTCATCAACCCCATCACAGCCATAGTGGTAGTAGTCATAGTCTCCTGTCACCATGGCAACATCACTCCCTGGTGGAGCAATTCCTTCATGAACATTCAGCTGTAAATCTGTCATGTTGAAACTATGGCACTTCACCTGAAACATACACACATCCCAACAAGGACTGTCAGCACAGAGTCAGTATACTGCAACAGAGTAGGGGAACCATGCTAAACTGCGTCAAGGTATTTCAGTCGGCTAGCACGACAAAAACGGAATTGGTCTGGACTTGTATAAGCAGCCAGACCCATGCAGACACGTGCATGCGCGTTGCTATATGAGTGCAATAATTAGGAACACTACGTTGAATCCTGTTTTACCTCACATCACCTTCGTGTGGTTATTTTAAATCTGGAAATATTTAAGCAACGACAAAAGGGCCTATTCCTGGAATCCTATTTCTGTAACTATAAACTGCTTTTGTCATTGTCATTAATCGAGGGAAAATTATTTAGATTTTACAAATATTACCATAATTTTACTGCTGGAATAATATCTCTTGTACCCTGCATATCTTTTGCCAAATGATAACACTTATCCAGTGTATGTGAACGTAATTAAAGGCGAACTTGGTCAAACTGATTAGCCAACCCTTGCAGTGATTATCAAAGGACTTTGACTATTTGTCAGCAGTAAGCCTTGATCAAGGAATTATCTAATTATGGCCTCTTACATTACTCAAAGCTGGTGCAATATTCTCATGCTGCAACAACAAGGGGCGGGTAACTCTCATGTACACCTCACCTGCCCTTCAAGATGGCGGCGTCCGCGGATCACGAGAAGGTTTCGAGGAATGATGATATTGATGATCTCTTTCACGATGTTATCATGACCGAAGAAAGGCAAGGATTTATGTTTGTAGGGTTTCTTAAAGAGATTAACAGACTGATCACAGCAAATATATCTTTCGAAGTTATCAAATCATGAACGTGATGAAAAGATGAAGTCAGTCGACTCACTCGATATATTGCTCAACACGATAGTAACCTACAGTGTAGGTGAATTCGTAGCCATGGAAACTTCGTAGACACTTTCAAGTCGTAGACAAAATATCACCGTGAACTCTTCGACATAACAAATATAATTGGAGAATAGACTTGAATTTTCATTAATTACATATCGAATAATTATGTGTCAAATAGATCTATTTCAAATCTAAAATCTGTAAATGACAATAATGTTTTAATATGAAGTTTACATAATATGCACCTTTTTCATTTGGATGAAGGGTTGATCACATCACCGCAAAAAAGAAGTTAATAAGTGTCTGAACGACACATTTTGATGTTATTAAGTTTTTCAGGAGACTGTATTCTTGAAATGACGTAAACACTGACGGTCTACTTCCACATTCTTGGGGAAACACCTGGGAATTCACCAGCTCGAAAAAATAAAGAAGTGATGTTTCTCATCATTCAGATACTTTTTATCTTGAACTTGAAGTGTTTAAGCATAGAGTTTTATTATATCGTTCAATGATGGGTTGTAGCAAGGATATCTTTATAATGTCCCCGCAACACACAGTTTACTGCTCATTCTGTATCCCCTCATCCAGTTCATCAGTTCATTGTGTTTTACATCTTCAGTGAAATATAGAAAATAATACAGATGAGGGAATACAGTGACCAATCATGCTTGAAGTTAAAGATAATGTTAATGCAAAAATTTTCCTCTTTGAGTAAGTCATTTCCTAACTTTTGTATCATCAAGAATTATATCACGGCTGCTTAAACATGAGTTCACTTGATTAAATTGATGTGTGTATTGTGATGATGTTTGTCTCCCCAGGAGCCAGGGGCAGGGGTTCAGCGAGGGGAGAGCTGATGGGGAGAAGAAGGGACTGGCAGACGGATTCTCTCTGGGATTTGAGAAGGGAGCAGCTATTGGTTCAGAGGTAGGGCTTGTTAATCTTGTGATACCACACACGTAACATTGACTGTAGCGGGCGACCTCGCCTAGGTGAACACTACCAAGCTGACTGTCATTCATTTCCCGATGAACGTCAGTATGTCACATGATTACATTGTCAATACATACGCGCGGATACATACAGAACCACTTTAGGGGAATTCCTCAATGTCTAAAAATAACTTTAAAATAATTAGGGAAAACTGAGAGCGACATCGATTTAGGCTATATATGATGCAGGCTTTAAAGTCAGACAGATCATGTATATGTCAGGTCACCGAAATGAAGTGTCCATTCGAAGCTATAACAGAGAATGCTCGACTTTCTAAAAGAAATCACTGAGCTCCACATTATTTCGTGCCTCAGTAAATCCAACCGCGCTGCCTCCAGCGGTAATCCCCGTCATCAGCAGCCGTAGTATGACTCAAACACACACCAAAAGTTCACAGAATGTTAATATGTATCCATTTTCAGCTTGAGCCGGGTCTGGATTTCTTTCCAATTCCAACGCTAACTTTACTGGGTGCAACTTGTATTTCAAGTGAATGACATTGCGGTAGCCCTCATTTTCTGCCGTTTGTGAAACCAAGTCACCTGAAATGGAATGTTTTAGGGCGGATGACGTCATGACTCTCCGCGTTGATATAGTTCGCTTTCAATAATTAAAGTTTGATGTTTAATGGATTGTTTAAATGACACTGAACTCATACCACTGAGAATACAGGGTTTAAACATGTTCAATTAAAGTATACTTATAATGCCAATAGATTATGGGGAACTTGTGTGCATTTTATTAATTGACGTTTCCCAAATGTTGGTTAAGTCCAACCTGAAGTTGTATATTTGCACCCTACAGCCAAAGTAAAACTCAACATGACCATGCAGAGAAAGAGTTTATAACCAGGATGCCTGTCAAACCAAAGTAGAAGGATTTCAGTCCAAAGGACAAATTCTAACTTTTGTTTTATCTACAAATCTAAGAACAAGTAGTATTAATAAATTCGCACTCTGCTATTGTTTTGAGTTATTGTCTGTACCAAAACATATCCTGATGCATATTGTTGTGTTCTGTGACAATTAGTGTGAGCATAACTGGCACAACACCATTTTTTGTCTTCCAGTTAATTATTCTGGTAAAACATCCTTTATCATTTTCATCTCTTTGATTGTTGTTTAATACGATACTCGGGGTTAGAATCTAACAGTTTTTGTCCACTATATAGTGAAACCCTTAAAATGGGCCAATTTTTACTAGTCCTTAGGTAACTTTACTATTGGGCAGTTTGGTAAGGACTTTAGGACTAATACCAATTTCTCACGCTGGACCCTCAACAATATTCCAACTATGTGACGTCAACCTGTGAATAATTGAGTCTGGACCAGACAATTAAGTGATTTGATCAACATCAGGGTATGATGTCACTCAATCAACCGAGCTGCATCTTCCCGAGGCAAGGGACTTTACTGATTATAAAAATCCAGTTTCCACCCTTGCCGAACTTGGCTGGAATTATGAAGTTAGTCTTTTGCTGGACTAACATGTCTATGCATAATCCAATCAAAATCGCGTAACGAAATCGAAGTAAGACTCATTTTATTACAATATAGATCTTGATTATTGATCAGATCGTCTTCACTCCGCACCTCAATTTTTAAAGCAAATGCAAGTAATATGAGAGGTGGAATCTGATTGGTCAACTCTTAATAGCCGCTAGTGGCGCTACGATCAAGCACAGAAAGACCAGTCAAGGTCGGCAAGGGTGGAAACTGGACTTCTACAGTCCGTTAAGTCCCTTGCCTCAGGAAGATGACCCAGTTGATGCCTCTTGTTACCTCGCACTGGCTGTTTGGGACTAATTCTGATGCACCGGGGTTATCATGTTAATGGTTGAGGTATCTTCAAAAGCATGTTCTTGATGACTTTTTATATAGACGGGTTTTCGAAATACAATATTTTAAATATCAGATACATGATACATGGTATACATGCTGACAATTTTATAGGGCGGTGGGGTAGCCTAGTGGTTAAAGCATTTTCTTGTCACTCTGAGGCCTGGGTTTGATTCCACACATTGGTACAATGTGTGACGCCCATTTCTGGTGTCCCCCACCGTGATATTGCTGGAATATTGCTAAAAGCGGCGTAAAACCCAACTCATTCACTCACTGACAATTTTTAAGTACCGGTAAATTCTAAACTTCAAAAGAGTTGTTCACAGTGGCATTTTATTTTGAACCTAGGATCTTAACACATGTTACTATAGCTAACCATTCCTATACCAAGGATATATGAAAGATCTGAGTTTGTTAGGTGAATAAGTTATTATTATGTTTGTTAATATTTCAGCAAGGTTGGTTCATTTTTGTGGGCTAGAAAAATAATCATTCTATGTTATTTGGTACCGGGTATCACAACGTCCCATATCAGTATGAGGATATCATGTGTTAACATACTTTGTTACCACTCATGTATTGCCCTGTGGGGATTCCGCGCTAGAATAGGTCCACAGCAACCTATGCTCTTCATAAGAGGGGCGGTCGGGTAGCCTAGTGGTTAAAGCGTTCGCTCGTCACGCCGAAGACCCGGGTTCGAATCCTGACATGGGTACAATCTGTAAAGCCCATTTCTGGTGTCCCCCACCGTGATATTGCTGGAATATTGCTAAAAGTGGCGTAAAACCAAACTCACACACTCACTCTTCATAAGAGGTGACTAAATGGATCGGAAACATACAACTCTATGGATAACAACTTCTGTCTTCTGCATTTAGCAATTTTTGTCATAAGCTCAAGGGCCCACTTGCACAAAGCTATTCTAGCACTAACACGAAGCACTCCCACACTTTAACATAGGGTTACAATAGTCATAGCGCTAAGATCTCTTTGTGCAAGTGGGCCCAGCTTCATAAGTTGGAGTGTGATTAGTTCCAGCTTGGTAACGGGGTAAGAATCTACATTGAAATGTCGCTAAATGTACTAAATCAGAATTTGTTATCCATAAATTTGTATGTGTTGTCACGTACTCATCAACTTCTAGAATGCCATTCAAACAGTTAAATGGATCGGATGGTCAGACTCAGTGACTGCAGAGCATGGATCCTTGCTCTTAAGGGGTAGTGGGGTAGTCTAGTGGTTAAAGCGTTCGCTCTTCACACCTAAAACCCGGGTTCGATTCTCCACATGGGTACAATGTGTGAAGCCCATTTCTGGTGTTCCCAACTGTGATATTGCTGGAATATTGCTAAAAGCGTTGTAAAACAATATTCTCTTATTACTCATACTATCAACCACCGGATTGTCTGGCCCAGATGGGATTATTTACAGGCCGTTGCCACATAGCTGGGCAAATACAGACACGTCACTCAGGTACCGATACAATACATAATGTGGCTGACCCTCTCTCTCATTATTCCCCGATGGCAAGGAGCTTTTATCCTGCTATCCTTACTTGATGTATTTTGTGACAAACAATATTCACTCACGCACCAATTTTGTTTTATTCATTCAAATTAGAATGTAAATAGTAATGATGTTTCAATGATTGCATGTGATTTATGGTTGAATGGTAACCACATTTTACCCAATACCAAATGATTGGAGAGTTTCATGACTGACTGTGGAGAGAGCTGTTGGATAAGCTGCATAACATGTTAATGTCCACACAACAATGTATTTAAGGATGTACATATTTAGTCATTAGTCAAAGGCGGTCTGGTAGCCTAGTGGTTAAAGTGTTTGCTCATCACGCCGAAGACCCAGGTTCGATTCCCGACGTGGGTACAATGTGTGAAGCCCATTTCTGGTGCCCCCCGCCGTGATATTGCTGGAATATTGCTAAAAGCGGCGTTAAACCATACTCACTCACTCACTCTGGTGTCCCCAGCCGTGATATTGCTGGAATATTGTTAAAAGCGGCGTTAAACCATACTCACTCACTCACTCTGGTGCCCCCCGCCGTGATATTGCTGGAATATTGCTAAAAGCGGCGTTAAACCATACTCACTCACTCACTCTGGTGTCCCCAGCCATGATATTGCTGGAATATTGCTAAAAGCGGCGTAAAACCAAACTCACCCACTCACTTAGTCATCAGTCCACTGGGGGCATGGATGACCCAGTTGTCTAAGGCGACCTAATTTGCAGTGGAGAATTGCATCATCCCTTGGGCACACCAAACAAATGTGGGTTCGAATCCTGCATTTTGTTTCTTGGTTTGTCAGCACCATTCCTATACTCATCGCATCGGGCTTTCCCCCCCTCATGATATTACTGGAATACTGTTAAAACTGGCATTAAACCCAACTCACTTTGTGAATGTGCAAGAATCTGAATAAAATATAAGAATAGTAAAGTAATATTGGGGTTTATGACATAAGGAAATGTGCAGCACAGTGGAATGAAATATAATCTGTTCATGTTAATTCCTTGTGTGGTAATTTTTTTCAATTTGTGTTTCTATCTGGTATTTGTATAAACAATTTCTGTGCTCCCGTTTTCGTCAGTTGTAGTTCCTCTTTGTGTCTCTAGGTGGGGTTTTACCAGGGCTACGTCGAGACATTGCAGGAGCTGAATACACAAGAAGGGACATTGAAACCAAGGTGAGTCTAGCGAGAAGGTCCACCAGGGCCATACACATGCGGGGACCAAGATCCAGGTGAGGCATGCTGGTTGGTGCTCTATGACTACACTGCTGTGATGCTCATACTGGATTGCGACCTAGGAAAGGCCAGCTTGTTGGTCCACACAGGTATTAAGTACCTGAATAGGACCGAGATCCAGGTAAGGCATGCTGGTTGGTCCTCTATGACTCCACTGCTGTGATGCTCATACTGGATAGCGACCCAGGTAAGACCGCTCGTTGGTCCACACAGGTATTAAGTACCTGAATAGGACCAAGATCCAGGTTTGTACAGCTAGGTGGTACATCTGGGCCATAAAGTTTTTAGGAGGTCCATAAAGACCGTAATGATTTTAAGAAAACAGGACAGGGACGGAGGTCTAGGTTGGGCTAGCTAGATGGTCCATTAGGACCGTAATGATTTTAAGTAAACAGGACAGGGATGGAGGTCTAGGTTGGGCTAGCTAGGAGGTCCATTAGGACCATAACGATTTTAAGCAAACAGGACAGGGACGGAGGTCTAGGTGGGGCTAACTAGATGGTCCATTAGGACCATAATGATTTTAAGTAAACAGGACAGGGACGGAGGTCTAGGTTGGGCTAGCTAGATGGTCCATTAGAACCGTAATGATTTTAAGTAAACAGGACAGGGACGGAGGACCAGGTGGGGCTAGCTAGATGGTCCATTTGGACCGTAGCAATTTTAAGCAAACAGGACAGGGACAGAGGTCTAGGTTGCGCTAGCTAGGAGGTCAATTAGAACCGTAATGATTTTAAGTAAACAGGACAGGGATGGAGGTCTAGGTTGGGCTAGCTGGATGGTCCATTAGAACTGTAAAGATTTTAAGTAAACAGGACAGGGACGGAGGTCTAGATCGAGCTAGCTAGATGGTCCATTAGAACCATAACGATTTTAAGTAAACAGGACAGGGACAGAGGTCTAGGTTGGGCTTGCTAGATGGTCCATTAGAACCGTAATGATTTTAAGAAAACAGGACAGGGACGGAGGTCCATGTGGGGCTAGCTAAATGGTCCATTAGGACGTAACGATTTTAAGTAAACAGGACAGGGACGGAGTTCTAGGTGGGGCTAGCTAGGTGGTGGTCCATTAGAACCATAACAATTTGAAGTAAACAGGACAGGGAAGGAGGTCTAGGTTGAGCTAGCTAGATGGTCCATTAGAACCGTAACGATTTTAAGCAAACAGGACAGGGACGGAGTTCTAGGTGGGGCTTGCTAGATGGTCCATTAGAATCATTATGATTTTAAGTAAACAGGACAGGGACGGAGTTCTAGGTGGGGCTAGCTAGATGGTCCATTAGAACCGTAATGATTTTAAGTAAACAGGACAGGGACAGAGGTCTAGGTTGGGCTAGCTAGATGGTCCATTAGAACTGTAACGATTTTAAGCAAACAGGACAGGGACGGAGGTCTAGGTTTGGCTAGCTAGATGGTCCATTAGAACCGTAACGATTTTAAATAAACAGGACAGGGACAGAGTTCTAGGTGGGGCTAGCTAGATGGTCCATTAGAACCGTAATGATTTTAAGTAAACAGGACAGGGACAGAGGTCTAGGTTGAGCTAGCTAGATGGTCCATTAGACCTGTAACGATTTTAAGTAAACAGGACAGGGACGGAGTTCTAGGTGGGGCTTGCTAGATGGTCCATTAGAATCATTATGATTTTAAGTAAACAGGACAGGGACAGAGGTCTAGGTTTGGCTAGCTAGGAGATCCATTAGAACCGTAACGATTTTAAGTAAACAGGACAGGGACGGAGGTCGAGGTTGGTCTAGCTAGGAGGTCCATTTGGACTGTAACAATTTTAAGTAAACAGGACAGGGACGGAGGTCCAGGTGGGGCTAGCTAGGAGGTCCATTAGACCCGTAACGATTTTAAGTAAACGGGACAGGGACAGAGGTCTAGGTTGGGCTAGCTAGGAGGTCCATTAGACCCGTAACGATTTTAAGTAAACAGGACAGGGACGGAGGTCCAGGTTGGTCTAGCTAGGAGGTCCATTTGGACTGTAACGATTTTAAGTAAACAGGACAGGGACGGAGGTCCAGGTGGGGCTAGCTAGGAGGTCCATTAGACCCGTAACGATTTTAAGTAAACAGGACAGGGACAGAGGTCTAGGTTGGGCTAGCTAGGAGGTCCATTAGACCCGTAACGATTTTAAGTAAACAGGACAGGGACGGAGGTCTAAGTGGGGAGTGCTAGGTTGTGCATCAAGACAATAAAGTACACTGGACTGGAGACCCAAATTAAGCAGCTGTTTTGTTGATCTGGTCCTTGTGTTGGTTTCTTTTTTGTACCCAGCCATTACAGATGAGATTTTGGCTCATAAAGCCATGGAATACTGTGACTCCCTAGGTCCATGAAGCCATGGGATACTGTGGCTCCCTAGGCCCATGAAGCCATGGGATACTGTAGCTCCCTAGGCCCACGAAGCCATGGCATACTGTAGCTCCCTAGGCCCATGAAGCCATGGGATACTGTGGCTCCCTAGGCCCATGAAGCCATGGGATACTGTAGCTCCCTAGGCCCATGAAGCCATGGGATACTATGGCTCCCTAGGCCCATGAAGCCATGGGATACTGTGGCTCCCTAGGCCCATGAAGCCATGGGATACTGTGGCTCCCTAGGCCCATGAAGCCATGGGATACTGTGGCTCCCTAGGCCCATGAAGCCATGGGATACTGTGGCTCCCTAGGCCCATGAAGCCATGGGATACTGTGGCTCCCTAGGCCCATGAAGCCATGGGATACTGTGGCTCCCTAGGCCCATGAAGCCATGGGATACTGTGGCTCCCTAGGCCCATGAAGCCATGGGATACTGTGGCTCCCTAGGCCCATGAAGCCATGGGATACTGTGGCTCCCTAGGCCCATGAAGCCATGGGATACTGTGGCTCCCTAGGCCCATGAAGCCATGGGATACTGTGGCTCCCTAGGCCCATGAAGCCATGGGATACTGTGGCTCCCTAGGTCAATGAGGCCATGATAGACACAATTAGACCAACACTGACATGTTTCCCCCATTCACCAGGGTTCAGAAGTCTCTGCAGGCCCTGGCGGCCATGTTGTCTCAGTTCCCTGTGGCAGATGTGATGAACCAGACTCTCTTTGAAGACCTGGAGAGGATACGTGCCAAGTTCAAACAGGTAGATACAGAGTGGGGCATTTATTAGAGTATATTCCTTTTTGTAATTAATATAAAATGTCAGCATTTATTAGAGTATATTCCTTTTTGTAATTAATATAAAATGTCAATACCAGAGAATAATCAGTCTCTGTTCAATACCAATAAAGAATGTAAGGCAGTAAAGCCATGACCAGATAACTACCGGGTAATCTTTTCAATAAAGCAAAGAGTCACACTGTGACAGGCAGTCATACAGGCAATTCAAGGCAGATGAATGTGATATGCAAAGGCTGTGGTGAGATTGTCTGTTAAACACAATTTGTGTTCCAGGTAACCTCCTTACTTGGAATAAGCACGTCATACGGGGCTCAAGACAAGAGCAAGGGCATGTCCTTCTGAGAGATCACCTCAAAGGGTGCTACATGTGTTCATAGTGAGACTACTGTCCAGACAACTGACATATCTGTATCCAAGGATGACTCGATGGTGTTTGCTGCTTTATGACACACATGTCCCTCTGAGAGATCACCTCACAGGGTGCTACATGTGTACATAGTGAGACTACTGTCCAGACAACTGACATATCTGTATCCAAGGATGACTCAATGATGTTTGTTGCTTTGTGACAAACTCAACAGTACTTCAGCTGTATTAAAGCAGACTGTAAATAATCAAGCCTGGACCAGACAAATGATTATGATAATATGAGCAATGTTACATCCTTGGTACAATGGCATGTTGTCAACCAAGTCACTGAGTCTGACCACCATTGCTCTGTAATATGACAACCAGGCACAACCTTCTGCAACAGGAACAGAGAGCTCCAAGGTTGGAGTTAGTCCTCACAAGTCCACTGAGTACTTAGACACAATGACACTATGTGGAGACAGTAGCTGCTGTGAATCGAGTGGATGTGTTACCATGGTTACAGAGGGACTATGCTCCACAACCTGGTTCCCAATGCCTTACATCTTTATGTGAAACTGTGACACTGTAATTAGGGTAACCATTAACTGTTAGACTGATGTATGTCATGCACAAAATGGGGGCATGGGTAGCTCAGTCGTTGTGCAGAGTTGCGTCCCTTGGGCACGCTAGAAACCTATGATTGTGGGTTTGAATCCCAGTTCACCCCAATTATGTTTCTAGGTTTGTCAGCACCATGGGTTTCAGCTCGTGGGTTTCACCAAAGTTGCAAACATCTGAGACCTGCATCACTTCGGGCTTTCCTCCAACATTGAGATGACACGCCGCGATATAACTGTAATACTGTCAAAAGCGGCGTGAAACACAACTCACTCACTCACTCATGCACATAATACACAGACAAGACAGGATCAGAATCACTTGCATTGAGCATGTTGGGACTAGCAACTTTCAGTTGAATGTGCTCGGGATGAATTGATCAATGACTTTATTCCCGAAAGAGACTCATGTGATGTCGAGTTGTACGTTTGGTTGTGATAACTCACGACTGTTGGTGTCAACATCATTTGGGAGGTCACTGAACTGTGGATGTCAACATGATTTGTGATTTCTGACTGGAAATCTCCTCATGGATTATGATGATAGGTATGAGGGTCGTAATGGGTTTTAATGCTTAACGTAAAACACACTTCAAACACTATCGTAAACATAAAATTCATCTTTTTTAATTGTAAATGCCTAGCGTAAAATACCAAAAAATCACTGCTTAACGTAAATGAATAATTTACTGCTTATTGTAAAATGATTTAAATGGTCAAAAACAGTCTGTCTTCAAGACCCAAATGCTTCGCCACAGAAAGCAGGCTGCGCAACTGACGCAGGGGACCAGTCTAGAATGTTTAGCGATTTGAGATTTTACCCGGTATTAAAAATATGAATTGTGGGGATGAAACGAAATGAGAATTAAAAGTCCCATGTCCCGTCATGTCTGATTTAGGAATTTTTAGGTACGATTTTATTGAAAAAGAAGAAAAATTACCGCTTAATGAAAAAGTACCCTAAATTTTACTGCTTACTGTTTATGGGACTCCCCCCATCAGGACCCTCAGGTATGGAGATATAATTCAAATGTCATGTCATCAATATAAGAAACATTAATGTGTTCTGCAATGATGTTCTATGAAAGAAACAAACCAAAAAGATTCTTTCAATATCATCTGAGAGGTGGTAATAAAAAAGTCTGTTCAGAAACAAACTATCCACGTGCTCAGTTGGAAAATACCAGACTGACAACACTTCAGCATAGAAGGGATGTATCTGGTTCAGTGATACCTGATTGTAAATAAAAGCGACAAAACCCTTTCCATATTCCTAAGAAATCTCTACCAAAATCACAGAATGATTCCGACTATATCATGAGCATGGGTTTACGTATCACTGTCATATGGTGGTGTTTTCGAAAAGGTGAGAGGTGGCACCCATCACAAACACATACAAAGTCTAGTCAGTGGGTAAATCAGTGGAAGGGAATTGGCAATTTGATGTTTTTTAACAATATACAATCATCAATATGTCTGAAATTTGGCCAAATTACGTTGTTTTGAGTTTGCCAACCGAGCAGAAATTCCGATTCAGTGTATCGGTCGAATTTTTGTTCAACATGTGACAAATTTGAAGTTGGTAGAACATGACTGAGACAACTGAATGTAACGTCCATATTTGACCCAAAAATAAACTGAATTTCACTTGGAGAATCCGGGTATCGATCCCGATACCTCCCCCATGCAAAGCGGGCCCTCTACCATGTGAGCTAATCCCCCTGTGCAAGACATTCACAAAAAGCCAAATAAGAACAATATTTCACACAAAAAAACCCAGCAAAACACTTGGAGAATCCGGGTATCGATCCCGGTACCTCTCGCATGCTAAGCGAGCGCTCTACCATTTGAGCTAATTCCCCTAATGACAGAGTAAGTGTGTCTTCATTCAATGTATTTTTCACAATCACCTGTAGCGGTTTGGGGCATGAACGCTAAGCCTTCCACCTTGATTGACCTTGTAGTGACAGATGGGTTCCTCCAGCCTTCCACCTTGATTGACCTTGTAGTGACAGATAGGTTCCTCCAGCCTTCCACCTTGATTGTCCTTGTAGTGACAGATGGGTTGCTCCAGCTTTGAGAGAAACTTGCTTTCACATTTGGAAGTCAGTGTGTGTGTAGAATTTGTTTTGAACATGTAACAAGTTTGAAGTTGGAAGAACTTGACTGAGACAACTGAATGTAACGTCCATATTTGACCCAAAAATAAACTGAATTTCACTTGGAGAATCCGGTTATCGATCCTGGTTCCTCCCGCATGCAAAGCAGGCGCTCTACCATGTGAGCTAATCCCCCTGTGCAAGACATTCATAAAAAAGCCAAATAAGAACAATATTTCACAAAAACAAAAACAGCAAAACACTTGGAGAATCCGGGTATCGATCCCGGTACCTCTCGCATGCTAAGCGAGCGCTCTACCATTTGAGCTAATTCCCCTGATGACGGAGAAGTTGTGTCTTCATTCAATATATTTTTCACAATCACCTGTAGCGGTTTGGGGCATGAACGTTAAGCCTTCCACCTTGATTGACTTTGTAGTGACAGATGGGTTCCTCCAGCCTTCCACCATGATTGTCCTTGTAGTGACAGATGGGTTGCTCCAGCTTTGAGAGAAACTTGTGTTTGTGTAGAATTTGTTTTGTAACACGTTTGAAGTTGGAAGAACTTGACTGAGACAACTGAATGTAACGTCCATATTTGACCCAAAAATAAACTGAATTTCACTTGGAGAATCCGGGTATCGATCCCGGTACCTCCCGCGTGCAAAGCGGGCGCTCTACCATGTGAGCTTATCCCCCTGTGCAAGACATTCATAAAAAGCCAAATTAGAACAATATTTCACAAAACCAAAAACAGCAAAACACTTGGAGAATCCGGGTATCGATCCCGGTACCTCTCGCATGCTAAGCGAGCGCTCTACCATTTGAGCTAATTCCCCTGATGACGGAGTAGGTGTGTCTTCATTCAATATATTTTTCACAATCACCTGTAGCGGTTTGGGGCACGAACGCTAAGCCTTCCACCTTGATTGACCTTGTAGTGACAGATGGGTTCCTCCAGCCTTCCACCTTGATTGTCCTTGTAGTGACAGATGGGTTGCTCCAGCTTTGAGAGAAACTTGTGTGTGTGTAGAATTTGTTTTGTAACACGTTTGAAGTTGGAAGAACTTGACTGAGACAACTGAATGTAACGTCCATATTTGACCCAAAAATAAACTGAATTTCACTTGGAGAATCCGGGTATTGATCCCGGTACCTCCCGCATGCAAAGCGGGCGCTCTACCATGTTAGCTAATCCCCCTGTGCAAGACATTCATAAAAAGCCAAATAAGAACACTATTTCTCAAAAACAAAAACAGCAAAACACTTGGAGAATCCGGGTATCGATCCCGGTACCTCTCGCATGCTAAGCGAGCGCTCTACCATTTGAGCTAATTCCCCTGATGACGGAGTAGGTGTGTCTTCATTCAATGTATTTTTCACAATCACCTGTAGCGGTTTGGGGCATGAACGCTAAGCCTTCCACCTTGATTGACTTTGTAGTGACAGATGGGTTCCTCCAGCCTTCCACCATGATTGTCCTTGTAGTGACAGATGGGTTGCTCCAGCTTTGAGAGAAACTTGTGTGTGTGTAGAATTTGTTTTGTAACACGTTTGAAGTTGGAAGAACTTGACTGAGACAACTGAATGTAACGTCCATATTTGACCCAAAAATAAACTGAATTTCACTTGGAGAATCCGGGTATTGATCCCGGTACCTCCCGCATGCAAAGCGGGCGCTCTACCATGTGAGCTTATCCCCCTGTGCAAGACATTCATAAAAAGCCAAATAAGAACAATATTTCACAATACCAAAACAGCAAAACACTTGGAGAATCCGGGTATCGATCCCGGTACCTCTCGCATGCTAAGCGAGCGCTCTACCATTTGAGCTAATTCCCCTGATGACGGAGTAGGTGTGTCTTCATTCAATATATTTTTCACAATCACCTGTAGCGGTTTGGGGCACGAACGCTAAGCCTTCCACCTTGATTGACCTTGTAGTGACAGATGGGTTCCTCCAGCCTTCCACCTTGATTGTCCTTGTAGTGACAGATGGGTTGCTCCAGCTTTGAGAGAAACTTGCTTTCACATTTGGAAGTCAGTGTGTGTGTAGAATTTGTTTTCAACATGTAACAAGTTTGAAGTTGGTAGAACTTGATTGAGACAACTGAATGTAACGTCCATATTTGACCCAAAAATAAACTGAATTTCACTTGGAGAATCCGGGTATTGATCCCGGTACCTCCCGCGTGCAAAGCGGGCGCTCTACCATGTGAGCTTATCCCCCTGTGCAAGACATTCATAAAAAGCCAAATAAGAACAATATTTCACAAAAACAAAAACAGCAAAACACTTGGAGAATCCGGGTATCGATCCCGGTACCTCTCGCATGCTAAGCGAGCGCTCTACCATTTGAGCTAATTCCCCTGATGACGGAGAAGTTGTGTCTTCATTCAATATATTTTTCACAATCACCTGTAGCGGTTTGGGGCATGAACGTTAAGCCTTCCACCTTGATTGACTTTGTAGTGACAGATGGGTTCCTCCAGCCTTCCACCATGATTGTCCTTGTAGTGACAGATGGGTTGCTCCAGCTTTGAGAGAAACTTGTGTTTGTGTAGAATTTGTTTTGTAACACGTTTGAAGTTGGAAGAACTTGACTGAGACAACTGAATGTAACGTCCATATTTGACCCAAAAATAAACTGAATTTCACTTGGAGAATCCGGGTATCGATCCCGGTACCTCCCGCGTGCAAAGCGGGCGCTCTACCATGTGAGCTTATCCCCCTGTGCAAGACATTCATAAAAAGCCAAATTAGAACAATATTTCACAAAACCAAAAACAGCAAAACACTTGGAGAATCCGGGTATCGATCCCGGTACCTCTCGCATGCTAAGCGAGCGCTCTACCATTTGAGCTAATTCCCCTGATGACGGAGTAGGTGTGTCTTCATTCAATATATTTTTCACAATCACCTGTAGCGGTTTGGGGCACGAACGCTAAGCCTTCCACCTTGATTGACCTTGTAGTGACAGATGGGTTCCTCCAGCCTTCCACCTTGATTGTCCTTGTAGTGACAGATGGGTTGCTCCAGCTTTGAGAGAAACTTGTGTGTGTGTAG